ACCGTTACTTACGTTACTATTACTACTACTACTACTACTATACTATATATATATATATATATATATATATATATATATATATATAACAGATCTCTGCTAGTAAAGTTGTGTCAACCGCTTCAGTTAGATCATTCGTAGTGACACCCTTACCTCGTCCTCGTCTTCTAAGTCGTACGTACGTGTTGTTTGTGCTTTTACTGAACATATATCCTATCTTTGCGTGGCTTGTATACGTTTATCCAGGTTGTTTGCGCAGGTTAGGGTCAACAACTTGGCACAGGGCGAGCGACTGGAGTATCTTCTGATGATGGAACACTTTCTGGAGACGCACATCGATGGTATAGGAGTGTGTGTAACGAGTGTTTATGGGTGCTCGATACGTGTGTGGATATGTGATGGTACATCTTTGAGTGAAGCAAACGCTTAAAGTGTCTTAAGGTTACAGTTATACATCTCATCTATATACTGCGGAATTGGGAATTCGAAGAGACTTTACTGCGCACTGGTAACACCAGAGAAAAAGTTAGTCACATTACACTTTGTAGGAATGAATGCTAATGAACAGCGCATGGATGTACACACAGAACACGAGCATGATTTATGCTGCAGTATCCCGATAACGAACACACAAAATCCCTGGCATATCTTCAAATGTTCATCTGTATATATATATGCATGCATGCAAGTACGTTAATGTGTCTGACATGAATATAAATTTATCTTCTGCCACAGCCTGCAAAGACCTTGGCCATGAATTTGTGTTTGGCTACGTTCAAGCCATTGATGGCGAGAAGGACCCGCGCAACCTTGTCAAGGTGTTTGAACTCACCACAAAGATCAGCAAAACGTTAGACATCTCACGGTTTGTGGGTGATTTGTTCGAGGTGACTATCTGTTACTTTCCGGTGACCTTCAACCCACCTGCTGACGATCCCCATTCCATCACAAAGTATGTATGGTTCGTACGCAGGTGATTGTGTAGGCCAGTACCGATGATGTGTGTGCTGTGCACGCACGCTTTTTGTGAGGTTGAAGTACATATTTTTGGTTCATGGTTGTTGTGCATCTGCGCATGTGCCTTTAATCTGCACATTCATGTGCCGTGTGTGTACACCTATGTGTAGTATATGTATACGGAAGTGTTTGCGAGCGTTCAATATCCGGCACACGTAGGTGTGATTCTTTGATCATTTGTCACTCCCCATGTGTGTTGCTGCAGGGATGTTTGTAATTGTAGATTCATGGCGTATATCTTTGGCAGCGATGTGATGTGGCACTACCTATCAATACATACATATATATATATGACTAACGATATATACATAATCAATACATACATATATGTATTTGACTAACGATATATACATGATCAATACATACATATATATATTTGACTAACGATATATACATAATCAATACTTGCATATATGTATTTGACTATCGATATATACATGATCAATACATACATATATATATATTTGACTAACGATATACATATATATTGAATTAGCAATATACGCAAATCTATTGGGTGGCATTACAAGTGTACATACTTATGTAGGTGGCCATACTTTTTCGCATCGCTTACAAATGTATTGATTTGGCACACAAAGACTCTATCTTGATGTCCCTGATGCGTTGGTACTACACATATATTCGATTATATTTATTAAATTTGCAGTAGTTTGGTATTTGGTATCAACGTGCGTGTGAGCACACATCTTTTTATTGATCTATCACTTTACGACTGATTTATGCACACACGAAAATTAGCAGTTCGCTAGACATTCGACATATTGATCTACAAAATAACACACACATATACTCGCATATATATATATATATATATATACAGATATATACTTTATATATATATATATATATGTGTGTGTGTATGCAAATAAATATATATTTATATATATACATATATCCTTACACAAATGTATATATATATATGTATGTGTATACATTCATACACACTCACACACACACATATATATATATGTATATATATATATATATATATGTATATAATATATATATATATGTGTGTGTGTGTATGCATATATATATATATTTATTTATATACATATATCCTTACACAAATGTATATGTATGTGTATACATTCATACACACACACACATATATATATATACGTATGTACGTATGTATATATATATATATGTATGTATATAGCCTATGTTAATCGCTTGTCTGATGAGATATTCCACACTATACCCCGCATCTCCAACCCAACCCGATACTCACCGCACTTCACTCACTCCCTCACAATCAGGAAAGACATTATTGACGGCCTCAACAACGCCTTAGCCGCCTCTCCTCTGTTTGCAGAGTTCGGTATCCCGGCCCTATTCGAGAAGCTCGAGTCACACGTGGATGACAATCGTGTGGCTGCCTTTCGTACCATCTCTATCTGTGCTCCCAATTACTCGCGCAGTCCAACGGGTGGTTTAATGCCGCACATGCAGCGCTTCTGGGATGTGGTCAAGCGGGAGATGTACGAGTACGGCGAGAAGAAGGTTGAGGGCATATGCCTCACCTCCACAAGGTGTGTGTGTGTGTGTGGTGTAGGATGTGTTTGTGTCTCTCTGTCTCTCTGTGTGTGTGTATGGTGTACGATTGGTGGGTGAGTGTGTGTGTGTGTATGTGTTTATGCGTGGTGTGGGGTGTGTGTGTATGAGTGGTTTATAATGTATGGTGTGTGTGAGTGCGGTTATTTGCGTATAGTTCGTTATAGCCATGACCCTAGGGTAGTGTCAGTATCCTTCTCGTGCTGTTATGTGGAGTTTGTATGCGAGTCTTACTAATACTGGCAAGTACGCTCCACTATTATTCGTCTGTACAGTGTGTGTGCGTGTTCTGGTGTGTTTGTATGCGCGTCTTACTAATGCTGGCAAGTACACTCCACTATCATTCGTATGTACAGTGTGTGTGCGTGTTCCGGTGTGTTTGTATGCGCGTCTTACTAATGCTGGATTGTGCTCTCCACTGTTGTCCGTATGCGCCGTCCACCAATGCTGGCAAGTACTCTTCGCGAATATCGACACGTGCCCTTCGCGAATGTTCTTCTTCTGCCCACTGCTCACAGGCGCACTCGACCTATACCCCCACATAGCCCTGCCTAATATTCGCACGCACCTTCCCCCTTGCTGTCTATACGCACACACAGACGTCTGTTCGCCGCCGTTTCGCAAACTGAGGACAGCGCGAGCGTGAAAGCCTTCACCGAGAAAGTGGTGCAGGAGTGTCTGAGTGAGTTCAAGGACCAAAGCGACATCCTCACACTCACCCCCTCGAGCAAGATCATCGCAGCCATCACCGGCGCGTCGGGTCTGACCTGTGAGGTGGTGTCACGGGTGTTTGTGCCTACGGTAGTGGAACAGTACAGCCGACCGGAGTCGTATCCTCAGTTTAAGCATGCGTTGTTGGAGGGGCTGTTGAACTTTGTGCGCGCACATAACATGCTGTACTTCCCATCGAGCACGATGAAACACGGCACCCACACAGCCAGTGAGGTCAAAGCTCAGCCACCACAGACACCCGCAGATGGTGCCACTGCCGGTGAGGTACATACGATATTTTGTTATAGTGTTAAATAATGTATATATATGCATGCATGCATTGTATTCTACGTCGAGGTTCTTGCGTATACCTTCCCATTATAACGGGACATTCACGACGTCATCTATACTCACAGCAGTACATGCCCCACACTTCACACACAGGTTGCTATGCAAGATGCCGAGGATACCGACGAGGGCCCTGTGCATACGGTATTGCGTGATCATTTGCAGACCATCTCGGGATTGTTCTACGAAAGTTGCTGCGCGGAGCAACCGGCACTGCGGGCGTTGGCGTGCTATGGCATCGAAGGACTGATCACATCGAGGCAGCTGACTGCCAAAGAGGTCGACCAGGTATGTCGGGTCTGCGATGGACACAGCATTGGCTGGTCGTGTGTGTGCGTGTGTGTGTGTGTGCGTGTATTTTGGTGAATTAGTCGGGCGACGGGATCCGAGAGCACGCGCATATCCGCTGTATTGAACATACTTTGACAGCTTCGCAAATGGACAGTGTGTGTGGGTTGGGTGGCGTAGGGCGCTCTGTGTGTGTCATAGGTTGCGGGTGTGCACAGGCAGTTGTACATGTACACATACACCATTCGCCTGATCGCGCCAATTGCTCTGTGGGTGATGGCGTGCCGCGTCTCCGTGGGGCATCTGTCAAGTAGTCAAATCTGGACTAATAGCGAGGTGAGGTAGGTATGACTAGAACCGGGTGGTACCGTGTAGCCTGGTCTATTGCCTTGCGTACATGTACACATCCACGCACAAGCGTTACACTGAACTGCGGGTGTTGAGAGGCTGGGTGTATCTCGATAGCCAACACCTGACACCGAGCTCACGACGCTATCAGGCAAGTGGGTTTAACACAGACGAAAACCAAGACTACCTACATACACATGTCAACAGATGAGGGCTATCTCTACCTACGTACACATGCCTTGAATAAATTTGCAATGTATACTTGTACTGAGTGCTTTATGCATGTCATGCATCACAGCCGATCGTACCTTAACCACACTCTTTGTGGTTGTGTCCACGCAAAGGAGACGGTGGATACATTCGGACGTCCAGGACGGCATTCACCTCCTTGTTCGTAGGTTACTCGCAAGTAGTGTATGAATATAAACGACTAACATTGGTCCTATATTTTCCAAACCTTTCTAACATTGAACCCCTAAACCATTAAAACTCCAAAACATTAAAACATTCCTGCCACACCCCATACCCCACACCCCCTCAGGCCACTAAGGAGCTATCAAGCATGGCAATGATCGAAGATGACACCAACGTACAGACCGCCATGGTGGATGTCTGTGCCACTGTGGCGCGGCTGGTACCTGAGGCGATGCTAGTGAACGCCGCTAAGCCTATCCTGGCTCAGTTTGAAGAGTGTGAGGAGGAGAAGGTTGCGTATGTGCTGCTGGTTATGGATGCGCTGGCGACGGCTGAGCATTTAGGCACGAGCATGACCCGACACGCCACGGAGAAGCTGCTGCTGTGCAAAGCTATAGGTGAGTGTGTGGATGGTATTGGAGGCATGCATGACTTGTGTGTATGTTTGTGAGTGAGTGAAGCTGCTGCTGTGCAAGGCTATAGGTGAGTGTGTGGATGGTATTGGAGGCTTGCATGACTTTTGTGTATGTTTTTGTTATGGGTTGAAGACCCGAATTGCAAGTCAAGGATTCATTTAATCAGCAGGCGCTGGTGAACTGTTCGTATTTTAGGCGTAGACTCCACTAGTCCAATTTATGCAGTTGAGATAGGGGCTTTTTTTTTTGGCAATTCCATGTAGTGAACTTTGTGTTCATATGTGCGCATATGTGATACATATAAATATATAGTGTATATCTTTTTTATATATAAATAGTTAGATTGTCTATCCTTTTATATATATATATAGATTTTATATATAAATATATAGATCGTATATCTTTTATATGTAACAAAATATAGATCGTATATCTTTTTTATTTATAAATATATAGATTGTATGGTGATGGTCCTTACATACCCATTCCAAATCCAAACCCCTACAAGTGCATCTCTATACATACAGACATTGTATAATGTATATGTATTCATCCTTCTATTCCCATTCCATATCACAACCCCTACATGTGCATCTACATACACATACACTTAGTACAATCTACATGTACTCATCCTCCTGTACCCACCCCGTATATCCCATTCCCCCACAGACGCCCCATTCGTCAAATGGGCTGAAGCCCTAGATCGTATAGTCGCGTCCATGTGCGCCCAAGACACAGACGGCGACAGTCCCTTAGTTCAGCCCAGACACTGTGCAGATGCGGTGGTGTCTGATGTACTGACTCTGCTACTGCCCCACGTGTTCAACCTGACGGGCCATACGCCCAGAGACAGCAACTACTGGAATCCTGCGCTGCTACACAGTTTAAAGAACACTGTGGTCACGGCTGCGAGGAAATCTACCACCGAGTATGGGCGCGCGCGCGTGTGTGCGTGTGTGTCTGTGTGTATATAGGTGTCTCGGCGAACGTGATGACAGATATGAGGTTTTGACGTGGAATAGAGTAATGATGAGTTTGAGAGGAAATGTAGGCAGCGTTGTTGCACTGTGGCTGGCTGTGAGAATATTCGCATTCTTAAGGCTTTGTGTGGTAGCCAGCATTGAATACGGGTTTTATTTGTATTCTGTACCCCATGTTATATTATTATGTGTATCAGTGAATAGATTTATACATCCTATATCATAATATATATATATGTATATATATATTCATATATATATAGGTTGAATATATATATATATATATATATAGGTTGGATACAAAAATACATTTGAGGCTTTATGCCATACCACAACGAAGTTCACCGCAAATCACACCCACACCTACATCCACACCCGCACGTACACCCACAAACTCATATACACCAACACCATCCAATCTGGCTCCTACAGCTTACAGCAGAGCTTGATAATGCAGATGTCTGTGTGGGAAGCATGCTTTACGGATCACAATCGTGACTACACGCCCTACCGCTTGGCGCTGTACGCCTCTGCGTTTGTCAACCTGAGCGGGGTGGCCCAGCCCGCTCTAACTACTCAGGTGCTGCAGGAGATGGTTTCGCTGGCGTTGGATGCCACGGCGACTGAAGCATCGGTTCTGTGGGCGAATAAGGTGAGCTAAGTTGACTGCGAGTGTTTTGTATCTGTCATTCGTGTTCTTTTTTTTGTACATGTGGTCATTCCTATTATTTCCTTGTCGTGTACATGAGTGTGTTGTGTCTCTGCGTGTTATCTAATGATTCGTGCACATCCATGATGAGAAGAGTTGGCGAGTGCGGGAGGAGATAGTCTCCTTAAATAATTAGATGCAGCGCCGACCGCAGAGTCAGTTGTCTGAGCTAATAAGTAAGCTCTGTGAAGTTCTGTACGTTCACGTACACTGTGTGTGTGCGTGCATCGTGCATGTGTACCTGCATCACATGTACCCTTGCGCAGTGCAATTATTTTAAACCCAATTTTTCATTACTCAGGCGTACCATTAAACCCAATTGTTCATTACTCAGGCGTACCATTAAACCCAATTTTTCATGGCTCAGGCGTACCAGAAAGGCGTCCAATACGGCCGAGACAGCCTATCCGCACTATACCATAGCCTCGTGCGCTTGTTAGTCTGAGAGAGCACACTTGCTTTCATCCGTAAGCGCACGGGTGTATCACTCACTCACTGCCACACACACACTCTTCCCATCCGCATTCGCATAAAGTGCCCTATATATACTCAAATCATCGCAATCCGCATTTTCTCCAATCAAAGTGCCCTGTATATGCTCAAGTCATTGCAATCCGCATTTTCTCCAATCAAAGTGCCCTATATATACTCAAATCATTGCAATCCGCATTTCCTCCAACCAGATCCTAGCATCAGCCTGCAACAAAGCCCAGGACAGGTCCGCGCTAGAAGCCTTTGTGCAGCGCGTCGCAGACATCATCACCACAGTGATCCTGAACCCGCCCACAGAGTCTCCCGAAAACACCCCCTCGCAGACCCCCCTGGCGGTGCGCACGTGGGCATGGCTGGTAAAAGGCCTCCTGCTGCGCGCCCACAAGTCCGGCAGTCAAATGCTCACGACGCTTATCAGCTGGATCGGCGACGTGCACGCAGGACAATGTGCGGCCCAGGCCTTTGAGGTTCTGGTCACACCGTACGATGACTGTCTGTGCAAGGCGAGCCATGCCAAGACCAGCGCCCTGTACCAGCAGCGCCTGTTCCTCATGGCTTTGGACCCGTTGGTGGCGGGTTATGGGTCAGGAAAAGAGGGCCGGGACAGCGACGTGGTGAAGGCGAGGTACTTGACGGCGCTGTCTTACCTACTGCAGTACGCACCCAAGCAAGTGCTGACCGAGCAACTGCCGCCGGTATGTTGCGGGAGTGTGTTGGTGCGATTTGAGAGGTGGGGTGGGTGAATTAGTGGTTCAGAACAGGATGGTTGAGTGAATTAGTGGTTCAGCAAAGGATAGTTGAGTGAATTAGGGGCTCAGCACAGGATAGTTGAGTGAATCAGTGGCTCAGCACAGGATAGTTGAGTGAATTAGTGGTTTAGCGCAGGATAGTTGAGTGAATTAGTGGCTCAGCACAGTATAGTTGAGTGAATTAGTGACTCAGCACAGGATATTTGAGGGGCGTGAATGATTATACTCATTGCGCTAGTGGGCTTTGCATGTGCTAGTATTCTAGATTGTATTGGATCGATAATCAGTGTAAATAGTGAGGCTAGTGTTATTGTGTGGGTAAGTGGGTGGGTAAGTGTATGTATGCGGGGGAGGTATATGTATGTATGTATGTAATATGTGTAATGCATGTATGTTTTGTCATCACGCTCATACCACACTCAATGCTGTGGAGGGATTCTATGCAACGCATGTATCAGACCATGTGAATTATTTGGCACCGGTGAGAGGTACTTCTCTGTCGTTCACAATACCAGACGACATCACTACTTCCACATCTGTTACACTTCTCGGAACTATAATGATCGAGGCTCTCTACACCTTTTGCCTAGTACTCGCGCATAGTCAAGTGCATCCACATCCACCCATGAATTCACTTCACATGTTCGGTTTATTTGTTTTCTTTCGCATGTATTGTAACTCGCTTTATAGAAGTAACACCTACTTTAGTGTATTAAATATTCTATTTCTAAACATATCGTCGGCCTTGTCTCTTTTATTACTACTCTCATCTCTCTCCAACAGCAACTAGATTATTACCATTTTCAACAGTAACTAAATTCATTCCCATTTTCAACAGTAACTAAATTCATTCCCATTTTCAACAGTAACTAAATTCATTCCCATTTTCAACAGTAACTAAATTCATTCCCATTTTCAACAGTAACTAAATTCATTCCCATTTTCAACAGTAACTAAATTCATTCCCATTTTCAACAGTAACTAAATCCGTTACCAATTCCTTGCATATAGCTGCTGCCCATGCTGTTGGCGTCCTTGTCAATGGACTCTCCCGACCTTCTCAAGTCCACATTGAAGGTATGTTCTGCACAGATCGATATGTTCTATGAACGACACCCAAATACCATACCCAATATGTATATAAATATAATATACAGTATATATGAATATACACATATACGTATAAATAGATTTATAGATAACTATATTTAGTTGCAGTTCGCAAATTGTTCTCGCCTCTGTCTTTTGCTTTCAACGCAACCTTAAAATCCTAAACCTATTGTAGGTTATTATAGCTGCTGGCGGGTTTGATGACTTTGATATATATATAAACACTGCGACTGCAACGTACACCTGCCATCGTACACAAGAATCGATAGCTCGGTCGCTGCCACTACCCCTACCCGAGCCTAATTCATACCTACTCGCAAAGACACAAGTCTACAAGTCTATAAGTATGACCCATGTCACAGACCCCCCCCCCCGTTCCTCCCTCTCTCCGTCTCATCTCTCCCCCGCTTTACCACCCAACCCCGTATACCGCTAGACGTTAGTGGGTCTGATGAATGACGCAGCCACAGTGCTACAAGTGCACGTGGACTCCCTGATCCCCCTGATACTGAAACTGGCTCATGCCTCAACGAAAATGGTATGGCACGCTATGCTCGTACACTGTCGCTGTAGGGGTGTGTCTGTGTGCCATGCTCGTATACTGTCGCTGTAGGGGTGTGTCTGTGGGCCATGCTCGTATACTGTCGCTGTAGGGGTGTGTCTGTGGGCCATGCTCGTATACTGGCGCTGTAGGGGTGTGTCTGTGAGCCATGCTCGTACACTGTCGCTGTAGGGGTGTGTCTGTGAGCCATGCTCGTACACTGTCGCTGTAGGGGTGTGTCTGTGGGCCATGCTCGTACACTGTCGCTGTAGGGGTGTGTCTGTGAGCCATGTGCGTGTATAGTAATATGGCTGTGCCTGTGGTCTACGGTGTAGTATCACGTGTAGGTATTCGTACTTGTATCTTTGCGTATCGACACGTGCACACATGTATTATATGCAGATCTATGTACGTATGTAGTTGTCGGTATGAATCTGCGTACATCTCTGGAGATGTATGAAAACGATGGTATTAAGCTGCATCTGTGTTCGTTCCTTGGACTCTAGCCGTTGTTCGAGCTGCTTAAGTATCGCATCACTCATACCGTGTTGAACCATAGTCATGTACTCTATATATATATATATATATATCCTTAGTACTCTCGTCTGTTCTCTCAACCCGCCCTTCCTGTCGACCGGTCTACAGGATGTACGCATGGCAGCCCTGGATTGTGTCAATGCCATGTCTTCGCTCCCATACCACGTGCTTCATCCTCATAAGCCGGCTGTGTTGGCGGGTGTTCGCGTGTGTCTGGGCGACAAAAAGCGCCTGGTTAGGCGCTCGGCTCAGGTGTGCAACAACACATGGTACCTGATATAAACCAGGTTTAGGGGATAAACCAGTTGCATACGGTGAATGCGGCCCACCACGCCCCACCCATAGGTTATGACTTGTAACCGAGGTGTCAGCCACATGCATGAGATTAGAGCGCACAACTCCACCCCCCGGGGCTTCAGCTGACAGCTGTTGTGTAGAACAAGGCTTGTTTAACGTGCTGTTCTGATGGTTTCGAGTTGCCGTCTCCTCGCCGCCGACAAGTGGGTGATCACAGGTGACTACCAGCTTTGTTCAGCGTGGGTGCATGCTGGTCTGGGCTCAGGGGCGTACGTACAATGTGGCCCTGTGTCTCGTTCGTTCGAGGCTAGTGTCTGTGGGGAAAGTTCGGTACATCCGCGGACAGCCGCTAATCCACGGTCTGGCAGCTGCACTGGTATCAGAGGGTGTGTCGCATAGGTGCCCACTGGTAGGTCTTACAATGGACTGAACGACTGAGGGGTGCCGAGAGCGCATCGAGACAGTGCTTCATCCGTAACGAGATCACCTGAACGTTTGCCGCACCTCTTCCGTGCTTGTACCTTTCCACATGGTAGAACGAGGCTCTAGGGGATACTCTGTTCGTGACCGGGAGATGTAGCCACTCTTGTCGTAGTCGACCCCAAGGGCGTACGACCTAGAACGCCTCGGATATACCGCATGTTGGACCACGTGCACCTGTGATGTATGAGCATTGCACATGGGACACTGTGCAGTGGGGCTTATATCCATATAGTACTTGTAGTGGCGTACATACCCATGTATTGCCTGTAATGGCATTGTCGTTGAATGAGACACCACTTAGACGCCACCGACTTGCAGGTTAATTCATTGCAGGCTATATTTGGGGCTATTCACGGAGGCGGGCCGCACAGACAACAGAACGCGCCACCGACAACATTAGTGTGCTGTAGGGTTTGTAGGGTTGTGGGGTTCTTACAGAGCCAGTCGCTTGGCCGTGGTGCAGTGCTGTGTATGCAGTTCGTCAACTGATAGACTGATAAGCGCTTTGTGCTTTGAAGACGGGAGGTTTATATTAGATGGCACTGTCTTGTCTGCCGGAAGTCGGTGCTGCCCGTTTGATAGAACCCTGTGGTAGTCTAGGATCACACCGATGCGTGGTGCGATGCAGATAATGTGCGCGTGGCTGTGATATGTGTGCTGTGGTGAGAGGATTCGGCACTGTCTTGTCTGCCGGAAGTCGGTGGTGCCCGTTTGATAGAACCCTGTGGTAGTCTAGGATCACACCGATGCGCGATGCGATGCAGGTAATGTGCGCGTGGCTGTGATATGTGTGCTGTGGTGAGAGGATTCGCGAAGATGTAGCGGACGTTCAGGACTGCGATCCAAACGCAAACGGATTAAACCAGGCAACAAGTGGACTGTTGGCGCTAAGTGATAGGAAGGGCTCGATGCGAAGGGCCGTTCTGTAATAAACGGTTCGTGCCTCGAACCAATCCTCTTTGAACCCAAATGCAGTCTCAATTCCGACTAACACTGTGTGACTTGTTTGTTGTTTGCCTGTTCACTTCTTGGGAGTGCTTGGGAGTTGATGGTACTACTGCCTATGAGCATTAATAGAATACGTATGCAATTATGAACTACTAGCTATAAGCGTTAATAGAATACGTATGCAATTATAAAATACTGGCTATAAAAGTTAATAGAATACGTATGCAATTATAAAGCATGCCGAGGTATCTAGCAAGCACGTGATCAATCGCAATGAGAAAATGCTCACTACTAAGACGCGGTACAATTGGTGGGAAAACTTCGTTTTCACAGCACCCCCAAACTTGGACAGATATAGGTCGGAGTATCAAAATGAATATTTCTGTATTTAAAGAAAAAACCCCCCTTGTATTTTCCTCTTCCAAGATCACCAAACAAGTGATTGCTAACACAGCCCTACGCTGTACACCAATATTTAGTATATATTTTCTAAGAGCTAAGAAAGTTTTTAAATAGTATTCGATTTTCACTCGGGTGCTTTTTAATTTAAGAAGTTTTGGTGTTAAAAGAGAGAAAGTAGCATTTAATTATAGAACTAAGCAAGTAAAATGAAGAGCTTCAACTCCACCCAAAAGACGATACCAGTACAAGTTTATTATTGTTCTACCGAGGGTCGATTTAACTTTGAACCCAGAGCTACCACAGCTGGTTTGTAAGATTTTTTGATATGATCGAATTCCAGCGGTACAGTCGAAAACTATAACTTCCGACTAGAAATACTATTTACATGGACAATTAGAATTTGAGATCAGCAAATAGTTTATAAACAGTACAGTTTCTTTATTGAATACTTCTCTGTTGGAATAGGGGCTTGAAAGACCACCCAAAACACCCACAACCAGCAAGATTCTACAAGCTATTCATATATAATATGTAATGTCAATAATCAAGACCCAAATCCAAACATCAAGCAAACCGAAGTGTGCAGGTTAATTCAGGTAATTATGTGGGTTAGGCCTCGAGAATATATTTATATTCGCTCACTTCGGCCGACCAAAAGGATTGTACCCAAATGATCGAATTTGACAGGTGAGCGGTGGTACACAAAAATACTACTGGTTCTAGGCAGGTCTGTATATCGGCCTCATTTGAATATTGACAACATATTGCTGAATGCATTGACTTGAAAGGCTCAGTAGTTTAATTCAATAGCTTTTATTGTATGGGGATACATATTAGAAAAGATGTAGACAAACAATAAAAGACCATCTTCGGAGAAACAGTTGCAGACATACCTGAAGGAGAGAGAAGAGCGCGAATTAATAAACAAAAAAAAGTCAAAAATAAACATACCAGTTCATTTTGGTGCATCAGTCCAGTAAGGGGTTATAATCACCAAAAACTACCAGCATAGACAAGCATCAACCACAGCAAGCCAAACAGAACGTTTGGTATGCAAAGGCTTCAACGAGTTTCTACATAGTAGCAACCAAGCTTGACACCAGCTATTCAACAAAACGTTGGATTAGCTGTGTTGGGCGAGATTAAAATCAGTCTCGTCATCTAATGATTGGCATTCATTTGCACACGGGCGTTACGGTATATAGTTTGAGTCAACTGCCTTACCTTCAAAAACGTAGACCATGTACGCCAATTCAACACTGCATCACTATCCCCGCACAGAAGCCACGGCGAAGAAAAATACAGGACCTGAAACACAATACGCAATACGGATTAATTTACAGTTGATGCACAAGTCAAGAACACGGTAAACGAGGGACAGATTTGTTCAGAGAAAAGTTATGATCATTGATATTCATAATGAGCTGGGTTAATAGCATAATGATTCATCATTCAATCCGTCGCAATCAAAGGAAGGACAAGAGGTCAAAGCTCTAATTACCTGAAGGCAACCCCGTCCATCTGTATCTAAAGAGTACGAGATACGAGTTCAACAAAGCGTCGGAATCTGTGTAAAGACAGAATAGTACAAGCATTAATAACTAAAAAAACACCGACGAATCATAAAGAGTAAAGGGAGTTTAGCTCAGAATTAAAGGTGATTGGTTTGTCTCATGGGCGATGGGCCTCTGAAGTAGCAAATATAATCAATCATCACAGCGAATACAGATGTACACAGTTCCTCTTTCTTCAAAGCATACCTTTTCAATCAAACCAACACGCGCTTGTATCTGAGGGATCACGGCTTGAGAGCAAAAGTAGTAGCCTTAGAATATTTCCACGGAAAGGATAAATGCTTAACAATCCATAACCTGATAACAAAAGAAGGTGTAATTAGAAATGGAAGTTGTAAACAAAGCAATAGACCAAACAAATATAAACCAGATCAGATTAAAGGTTACTCGCATCGACCCACCGGCCACAGTGGACTAGATCAAGAGGTGTCAGAATTACCAGTTTCATCATACAAGCAGGCAATACTAATACAAAATGAGTGAATAAGTACAATATATACCTTATATGCAATCTACTCGAATCGATGAGATGTTGCATCGCTCAAAAAAAACCCCCCTCCCATCTCGTAGAAAGGAAACATTTTCCTAGGTTCATAGAACAGTAAGGGCTCAATGGTGTGGTAGCCACTGGGAACATCATCATCTCAGACTGGTCATAATTTCAAACCTAGATAGGAACGGCATCCGAATTTGAAGTACGACATCTCGATCAGATTGTGCATTCCAAGGCGGCGTCCTGGTTAATATATAAACAAACCGAAGCTAGACAGTGAGAAAGTGTGTGAAAGGATATGAAAGATAATAGGTATAGTTGAATAGTCACTCAAGATAGAAGAGTGGTATCAGGATCACGTCCCCGTGACCAAATCTAACGCAAATTACCTAATGCTCTCACTGTGACTAAAAGAATCGCAAAAGAAACAATTCTCGCTTACACGTACCATGATTCCATTCTAAAGTATGCAGTTCTCCGAACGAGTGTTTTAAGTGACGATGCGAACAGACTTAACACTGAGATTTATATACAACACAGAACTACCGGTGTGGTAGTATAATAAACCCAGAGCAATTTCAATCGCACCACGCGTTCGGGCCTTGGGCCTTTGGCTACTTGTGCAAAGTACATACCACCAACAAGAGAGAAGCCAAATATAAAATTAAAAATTAAAAAACACGTTGATGGGATAAATATGTACCTACAAAACGAAGAGAATTGATGACTGGCCAAGTGCCAACCTGTCAACATGTCAACCTGTCAAAAATATGCACTCTCTCTAGAGAGTAGAGTCCACTGAGCATAGCCTTCAACAGACCTATAAAAATAATATATTTATAGAAAACTTTCAAAATAAGGGGGACAAGCACATTTTGAACACAAACACACAATAATTAAATAACTGCGCGTGTGGAAAGGGGGTGTCAAGCACGGTATTCAATGCACGATATATTATGAACTGGATGTCAGATTAGCAATTAGACGTCGCAGAAGTTCTTATACCATCCTATACTAGTCTCTGGTGCTAAAAAAAAGTAGCGTTCGTTAGAATTGAAGAATTTCATTTGCGCAGTGGCGTGCATCAAGCGTGCAAACTGGTTTCAATAGAGGCTGTAGTACAAGAATATACTCGATCAACATATTTTGGGTACATAGATCACAGTCAGAGTTCAAAATGGGTCGACGCTGTGCAGAATATTGCAAAGACTCGTTCACGAAAGACAATCCTTCTCGGCTTATACCAACCAAAGATAGTGTTCAAAACATGGATGACTAAGGTAGGAAGGATTGATGAACATCCTTCTGAAAATGTTGATCAAGAAGCTATCATCGATCACGAGATCCAGAAACAACACAAGTTGTGCACTAAACATTTTCATGTCAAGTATATACGTAGAACGAAACAAAAGGCCAAGCTTACCGATGATGCAGTTCCTATGACTGAACAAGAGTACCGTGCACATGTAGCGCGTGAACGTTTAGCATATGAAGCATTAGAACAGCAGAGGTTAGTCAACGAAACGGTGCGATTGGACTTACTTCAAAAAAAACCCCGCCCGACTATGCGTTCAGGTAGACAACCACGTAGTACCATACAACCAGATGATAATCCCAAAACAGTTAAGAAGTGTCACTTAAAGGTAGATTCGACTACGATACAATTAGAGGTTAAGACTGTAGCTCTAACTAAAGCTGCTTCGAGATTAGCAGCTTTAGAAGAAGAGATGGCACAATTATGTAGTGATATAAAGAGTGCAGAAAAGAATCTCACACAACAAAAGATAAAACATAGTATTAAATTAAAATTAATGGAGAATAAATTGATCAACAAGCAACATAGACTCGACGGAATGGCGTAGAACTTCAAAGAGACTCGTATATACAAGCTCGCATATGAGTAATATCCCAGGATGTAGAGAAGGTTCGTTTTTGGACCGAATTCCAGACTCCCACCAAATTTGTAGCTTTTGCGGAAAATATTGAAAAATACGGTAAAGCGTTCAGACCTGGTAGAAGTTCGCTCACTTTTCAGATTGCTCTGTTACTGTGGTTTGCCAGGGTCAGGCACAACTTAGACCAGGGTGTATTAACACACGTATTTGGATTAACATGTACACAGACCGTATCTAACATTCTTAATGATATGAATGCAGTTATTTTGGGCTGCTTCCGGCACCCTCCTAACGCACCTATAAATCTATTTACAAAAGAGACCGTGGATGCGTGTAAAATCAGCGGGTTACTATACTATAGCACATGTTAACATATATCATAAACGCTATTACGGTTATGAAACCTGGTATACGTTGAAACGCAATTGTAGATAATTGTATCTGTATAATAAACAAATAATCTAATTATAGATATATTAATTTACAGAAAACAAACAAACAAATAATCTAATTTGGATATTTGGAATTACAATTGTACACGACAGAGGCCGGAGACCCTGTTGAAATTGATATGATGGTTTTTCTACACTGAAGTGTTTTCCATCAGAATATTGCGATACAACACTGGGTGAGTCTCAAGTGATATTGACACTTGATGACACATGTTGTATTACCAAATACTCTCAGCGTGAGACGGTTGAGCCATCTCGCTACCGAAGTATTCAGATATAAATAAAATTGGAAAGTAAATAAAGCTCTATTAATAGAACTAGACCAACTCTTTATGTTTGGTATTTTACTGAGGCCTTTTAATGGCCTCATCCAAATATCTGATATGTTAAATGGAAAAGGTTTAATTAATAAAACCATTAAAACCCATTTTAGGAAACTTAAGTTCCTCGTGCTATTAAGAGCAGGGTTTAAGAGACTTAAGTTCCTCGTACTATTAAGAGTACATTTAGGAAACTTAAGTTTCCCGTACTATCAAGAGTACGTTTATAATTTGCGTACTGCTTAAGAGTACGTTTATACAAAGAGTCTAATGTGGAGGTCCGGCTGATTACAAGGCCATATGTAGCCGCGGATAAGATGAATGTTTTGAACAACACCAGATTGTTGCGGGGGTGTCGCCAGCTGAAGCTATGGAATCCATTAGCGCAGAAGACAATACTATAACCAGGGACTCCATATGTCTGGCGAGATTTATACCTGATATTCCGTGGGAGAGTGGAAAACCCAGGTATTTGGAAAGTGTGCGGGAGCCATCTTCAGGGGTAGGTGACATGTGTTCCAAGGGGCATCTGCAAGCGTCGGCGTGATAAACTCACCATTTATACGGAGGGTTGGCGCCGCGTGTCGCAAGTTCGTAGATCGTACTCGGGGTTTGATGACACCCTGTTTGAGGCCAGATTTGCGTCCCCAAGCATCAATGTTGTCTAAAAAGGACTAAAGCGGTACCGGTTGGGGGGCTTGGATCCGTGTGTCGTCGACAAATAAATAAAAGCGGAAGAGCTTGGGCCTGAATTGTGCTAGTGTGACAGCCAAAGAATCCTTGTAGATAATAAAGAGATGGGGGCCAACGATTGAGCCATTTGTTCTATGAAATAGATGCGAGAGTCACTCGGGTAGGGACCCTCTCAAATAGCACGCGGAGACAGTTGATTTAGATTTCGGGCATTCCAGCGTGGCGCGAGAGTACCCGCAGGCGCGGGAGAGCATCCTTGTCGTATGCCTTGGTAATGTCTAGACAGACGTCGCTCCACTCCTCTTCCGACTGTGTCTCAGATTCCATGGCGGCGAGTGCTTGGGTATGACAGGAGTATCGTGATTTGAAGCCAGCTTGGGTTGCGTGGGTAGCAGAGACGGGGTGGCAGTTTGAGGAAACACTTCTCAAATATGCGTCTGACTATTTGCGTTAGCGTGGGGGGGGAAACCCAAAAAAACCCTTAAAAAAAATTGGTGTTGATAGGGATAAAATTATTTATTTCAAAATAGTTAAGATACAATGTTTGTACATATGGTATGGCTCTCATAGCCGTTGTAGTGGTTCGGGGAAGATCGATGGGCAGAAGTGGTCAGTAAATTCCTTGTTGAATGTTGATAGGTGTTCGATCACAGTCGGCATCACTGAATTCATACTCAACCCAAATAAAGGTTGTTTTGCTCCATGCAAGTGCTTAGTATAATCACAACCTTTCACTAATACATATGCAATAATGAATCGTCAGTGAGGCCCTTAGTCTTAAAGAATGTATTACGTTGTTCCATGGTAATCATGCAAACTCTAAAAACTGTAGGATTTGATTTCACTATTTCTTTGATGAGACCAAAGCATATATTCACGCCATAGTACACCGAAAAATCAGAATCTTCTGCTGCAACGAATGCCCCATTCCCGCGCAGTCGACACAAGTACACAATTTATGAGTCAGCTTCGTAAGGCGCAATATAATAGTCTGCGCTCATCGGCATCCATGCGCCTATCGCTACACGAGTATGTTCCCAGGTGCGTGTGCAAGCTGCAGACAATAACTGAATACCTTTTGTGGATGAACCTAGCTGTGCTTTGTCGAGCTCTTGCCATTCTAACCATTTTTGGTTGGCTGTTGCAGTTCTACTGACCTTCTCTTGGCGTTTTGCGGCGGGAATATCCCCATCGAAGACATATATCGGGGTGTATCCAAGTATTGTTGTACTGTTCGAATACGCTAATTTGAAGCAAGTTGTTATCTCATTTTCAAGAGAATCACTTAAACCATTGTTGTGGTGTACCTATACTTCTCTATCCAACTCTAAAGTATTGAGAAATTATTAGAAGTGCACCGTCTTAACGCTATATGGAGGATTACAGATGCATCAAAATTACAGAACTTGTTCTCTGTGAGCGGTTGAAGCGTAGAAATGTGCTTCACTTCTTTCTTGAGCTGTGTGATGGTTGTGACATTTATTTCAGTATATGAGAGAAGCTTCTCTACCCCCATGACGATTCAAGTAAGCGTGTGTACTGTGTAGTATTGTGCGATGTAACACATCCGTGCAGTGATTTTGAAATGATAACAAACAATACATGTGCGTGAAAATTCGTTGTCCCCAAAATTTTCTTGAAATTTAATTTTTATAGGTCTATTAAAATAAACACACTGAGAGTCACTGAGAGTGCTATAAATTTTTCTTTTGGTTTTTTAAAAAAACAAACAAAAAATCAAATATTTTGGTCTCCTGTAAATACTCGCTCTTCTATAATAATAGCCTTCTAAAGAAGTTCAACCACAAGACATCTTTATATTAGATTCTCTATATTCACGGACTCGTACATGTGTTTAGGTGCTTAATGTACTCACAGGCCACGATGCAAACAAAGCAAATGCTAGTTACAGGACCCAAAACGTGAAAGATGCATATGTGCTATTCTTGTATCGCGTACATACACAAGCATACAAAATATTGATATGTAACTTATATGGATATGTATATACTAACTTACCTGCGTAAGCTAAATTTATTTGCTGACACATTAAGGAGTGTATGAATATGTATATTAATCTAGATGCATATATATATATATGTATTATATATATATATATATATATATATATATATATATATATATATA